TCCAAGATAGCGTTCTCGCGCCCTGGCCTCCCGCGCGGCAACAGAGGCGACGACTGTTGCAGCCGCGCGGACTGGATCTGCGACGCTCGCCCGGGCCGCCCCCTGCGCCGCCGCGGCGAGATCGGGGGCGGCCTCCGTGAGGAGGCGAGGGCGCTTGCTCGGGAAAGCGACCGCCATGGCGTCGACGGCAGCTGCTCGCTCGCGGCCGAAGCCTACCTGTGACCGGTGTCCTGGCCGAGGCTCCCTTGCGATTCCCTCGTCGCGCCTCTCGGCCCTCCTCGTCGCTCCGACCTGCCCTTGGGAGCAAGCATGTAGCTGGGGCACATGCCTGCGCCTGCGCCCGGCGGGCTCGCCCCGCCCCTGCTGGCCCGACCACGCGCGCGGCAACTTGCCGGGGGGCGCCTGGCACGCGCGCGTGCATTCCTCAACGGAAACGTCCAACAATTTAGCCCTATCGGGGCAATGCGCCTCAGAGAGACGGCGGAATCGCCTCTCCACGCCGCCCGCGCTCGTTTTCCAAACTAGGAAGAGATCCGCAAGACGACGGCCGCTGACGAACTCAGGCCACTCCGCCGCAGCGCGGCCAAGCCTGCCGCGCGGCGCCCCCGTTTCGACGAGGCACCTCGGCGCGCTTCAACGGTTGCCGCAGCCAGGCGATTGCCCGCTGCTCAGGAAGGGCTGCTTCCCGCCAGATGCGCCTCAAACAGGCCCCGGCCTCTGTCGCAGGCCCCGCTGCGCCCGCGCCCGTGGCAGACGCGGGGGGGGGGGGGGGGCAAGCGAAATGCAACAAAAACGCGCAACCAAGAGTGCTCCGGCCGATGCAGCTTCACGTTTTCCTTTGCGTTGGCCACAATTGCCCGCGACCGTCGAGGGGCGGCCTCGACGGCTTCGCCGGCTCGGGGCTCCGCGTTCCAATCGCCGAGGCCCGCGGCCCGGGCGCGGTCGCAGCGCGAGCGGCGCGACGTAGGCCGCGGAAAACTTCAGGGCGACGACCGCGCTGCGGGGGATGCCCAAAATCGCGTCGAGCCTTGAGAGGAACGAGGCGGCCCTAGACTGAACGCCTGCAGCGTCGGGGTTGCTTTTGTCTCTGGCGGCGGCCCAAGAGCGGTGCTCCGCGCGCGCGTCGGCCAGCGCCCCCAAGAAGCAGGCGCGACCTGTTCTCGCCCCGAGCCCAGGCAGGCAAGATCGGGCGAGGATGTGGCGATCTCGGTCGCCCCCCTGGGACCCCGCTCCGATCGCATTGAACATGGCGTTCGAACGTCGGCTTTCCCGCGCCAGGGGCCTCGCGCGACTGTTGAAACGCTGGGGGGTCCAGCCGAAGTTTTTGGCGAACGCGATCTCGTCGCCCAGCTGGTGCGCTCCCACTGCGGCGCGGAACGCGGTCGGCGCAATCAGAAACTGGCCCAGACTTGATGGCTTCTTGCCCGATGCCAGCAGACGGTCCGTCATCGCGCTTTCGCTATCTTCTTCCATCGAATTGGCTAGAAGCTTCTGGGCCGAATGCGCCTCGCCCCAAGCGTGAAACGACGGCCGAGGGAACGCGGCCGTTGCAGCCAGGGGCGCACTTAGGTCCGCCCCATCGCTGCGGCATGCCCGCATCTCCTCTCGCGCACTCCCGCGCAAGTCCACGCCCAGCCCCCCGCCTGCCGCCTGCCGCGCGCGACGGGCGCAGTCCTCCAGCATGGGCGCCTCGCCAGCGCAATCCATGGCCCGCCGAGGCCCCCGCGCCCCGATTACCCGCTCCACGACCCAAGGCCCTTTGAGGCCCAGCTGTCCCCGCCTGCGCGCCTGGATGCCGCAGCTTAGGAGAAATTTCAAAACCTTTGGAAGAGGCCGCAATGCGGCGCCAATCTCGACCTGGCGCGCGCGGTCGAGACCGCCCGCGGCCAGACGAGAAACAACGCCATCTTTGTAAATCCTCTTGTCGCGAGCTTCTCGTGCTGAGCCATCGTGGTCGCCGCCCTTCGGCGCTGCCCATGGGGCCCCAAAGCTGCGCGGCCGCCACCGAGGAGCGCGCCCCGCCGCGCATCGAAATTTTTGAAGGAACTGGACGTCTCCAATATTGCACGGGCGGCGACCGCTGCGCGGCAACCAGGGCGCGGGTCGGCGGTGCGGGCGACGACGGGCGCTCGCGCCGCGGCCGTTGCAGCTGTTGCGGCCGTTGTGGGGAACGCTGAAGCGGACGGGAAGACCCAGGTGCGCGCCTTCCGCTCGGACCCGTTCTTTCCACACCGCTTCTGCTGCCTGGTGATCCGCGCACTCGGCGTGGCGCGGGAGGTTCTGGCGACGGAGGAAGTCCCCGACGCCTTTGCCCAGGGCGGAGCGGCACCGAGGGCCCTTCAACGCCGCGCAGAACAAACGAATTGCAAATCCACCACTGGCGCCGCCTACCCAAGTTTTATTTCTCTGCGTTGCTGGATTCGTCGCAGAGAAAGAGGCGCCGCACTGAAACCTGTTTTCCAAAAGCGGCAAGCGCCGCACGCCAAAACGCGCATGGGGAAATTGCGGCCGGCGACGCGCCCCGCCAATGCCATGGAACCAGGGTCGAACGTCTCAGCGGCTTTGCTCGGGGAGGCCTTCGATGTTGCAGCCGCGGCCGACTCGGAAGACGAGTTTTTGCTGTTAGTAGAGCCGCGGTCGTTTTCGGAAGACGAGCCTTCGGATCACGTGTCTTTGCTGTTACAACCGCGGGCGTCTTCGGACACTTGGTACTGTCCCGGGATGATGGGTACCCAAGCCCGCGTCGGAGACTTCGGGCACTTCGTGCCCTGTCTCGGCACGATGGGAACCTGGGCCCGCGCTGGAGACGTCGGACACTTGGTACTCTGTCTCGGGACGATGGGAACCTGAGCCCGCGTCGGACACTTCGGGCAATTCGTGCTCTGTTTCGGGACGATGGGAACCTGAGCCCGCGCTGGAGATGTCGTACACTTCGTACTCTGTTTCGGGATGATGGGAGCATGAGCCTGCGTCGGAGACGTCGGACACTTCGTCCCCTGTCTCGGGATGATGGGAACGTGGGGCCCAGGTCGGAGTCGTCGGCGTCGGCGTCCGACTTCGCGTCGGACACAGTGTCCGACGTGACTTCGGACCTGGGCGTCGCCCTCGGCGTCGCGCTCGGCGTCGGGCTCGGCTCGCTAAACATTGCCGCTGCTGGCCCCAAGCCCCAAGAGGCGCTCGAGCCGACGCGGCTACGGAGGAGAGAGAGGGACTTCTCACCCGTCGTCATCATCATCATCATCATCATCATCATCATCAGCATCAGCATCATCATCATCATCATCAACCACCGTCATCGTCATCATCATCGTCATCGCCATCGTCGTCATCATCATCATCATCATCATCATCATCATCATCATCATCATCATCATCATCGTCGTCATCATCATAATCATCACCATCATCACCACCACCATCATCATCATCATCTTCTTCTTCATCATATTCATAATCATCATCATCATCATCATCATCATCATCATCATCACCATCTTCATCATCATCCGCCATCATCGTCATCATCATCATCAATGGTGATGACAGACCACCACCATCATCATCATCATCATCATCACCATCATCATCATCATCCACAATGGGGAAACTCAATTGACTCACTAAAAGACCGCCCTAATCCAAGCCAGTTGTGGCACTGCCCTTCTTGTACTCAACGCGTCCTCTGCCTACACCAATCGGGGTGGAGCAACGCTCCTCGACATGTTGCAGTGTCTCCCCAGACACTGTGTTGATGCTGAGGCTGCACCGTCAACGCCTCGATGCTTGGCTATGTGGTTGCTCGCTAGAGCATTTGACACGCGTGCGGAGCTCTACTGTCAATGCCACGCTTTCCTGTGGCTCTGCTGCGTTCCTGCTCTGAACGCACACCGCTTGAGGCGGCGGGGAGCTTGAGAGATCCATCCAACACGCTGCCCCAGAGGCTTAGTGGGGCGGATCCGCACCTAACACGCTTGCGGCTGCCCCTGGGGATTGCTGGAGGCTGCTCCGCAAGTCGGCACACGCGTGTCGAGATCCTGACAATGTCACGACGCCCCCGAAAGTGCGACACAGCTGCGTCACCGTGCGTAACGCCACGCGCTCTCGATCCCGACTTCCCCGCGCCCTGGCGGTGCACCGAGGCGCCGCCAACCGCAGAGCGAGTTGCAACAGTTACACGGGTAAAGGGAGATCCTTTCCAACATGAGCTATCGCTGGGCACCTCTCTCTCTCTTTCTTTCTTTTCTTTTTTCCCTCTCTCTCTATATACATACATATATATATATATGTGTGTGTGCTGGGAGCAACTCAACTGCCTGATGACAGCGCGTGCACTTCCGATGGCTAGAAACATGGAGGGCAGGTCCTTTCGAAAAGAGGACTCTCGGTTGAATGACATGCCCATCGGGGTTCTCGTCTTTCAAGGAAAGGGCTAAATAGAGAATGCTTGGATGGGCGGACTTGGGAAGAGAGAGAGCGTATTGCAGCATCGCTCATGCACCCTGGGTTCTACTCTGGTCATCCTCCTCCACCTCCTCCCCCTTCTCCTTCTGAATCATCCTCAATCCTCCTGCTCCTGCTCCTCCTGCTCCTCCTGCTCCTCCTCCTCTGGTTGCGTGCTACTCGACCCCTGACGAAAACAAAAGCATGACTGACCTTGTTAGACAGACGTTGGCAATCTCCATCGCTATATCGGAAATAGTGAGCCACGTCTACATCGCAGAGCGGGGTTGGGGTGGGAAGGGGCATGCCACTACTGACAAAAGAAGCTGCCCCGATCTGTGGCCGCCGCGATCGCCGCGGCGAGCTCCAAAACCGACCCGGAGGCTTGGTTCGGGGTCGGATATCACGCGACGATCCTCCTCCTCCTCCTCCTCGTCCTCCTCCTCCTCCTCCTTTTCCTCCTCCTCCTTCTCCTCCTCCTCCCCTCACTTTCCTTCTCCTCCCCCCAAGGCGCCACGAGAAGCAGCAGCGGCGGGAGCGGGAGACGCCGCGGGCCCCGCCTGCTGGAGCCGGAGGCAGATGGCGACGCCAGCCGCAATCTCGGCCCGCTCGGCCTAGCAAGCGCAGGAGGCTGCTTGGGGAGGAGAGGCGCCAGCGGCCGCCTCCTCCTCCTCCTCCTCCTCCTCCTCCTCCTCCTCGTTGTGGAAAAAGTTACACCAACTTGGGCGTCGCTTTCTGGGGGGGGCGACAATTGGGGCGGGAGGGGGGGGGCGCACTTTTCGGGTCCCAGAGGCCATGTTTGGGGCCCTGTTTAAGCAGTGCGGTCCCACAGGTCCATGCGACGAAGGCCGGACAAGAATACCAACAATGTCGGAAATGCCGAATTCCCTGAAGTACCCAGGAATCCAAGAATGCCTGGAACTCCAATAATTCATACCCAGAGTACCTAAAACTCGAACGCTTCGAAATGGCGCGCGCGAAGCTCACAAAGCGCCGCCCCAGGCGGACATGACCAAAAGACAGCAAAAAAACACGAACGGAACGACAAGCGGACATCGACATTGAGGTCAAACGCGATGATCCAACGCGCATTTGCCCGTCAGCGGTCCCCAGGGAAAGACCGGCATGTGTACTTCGCCGACAGGAAGCCCTGGCATGAAAAAAACACGTTCTCCAGCGCGCGTTCCTCGCGAAACGGCGCCCGCGCAACAGGTGGTCCCGTGGACGCGGACTTGAAATCATGGCCCAACGTTGGTGATCTAACATCGCACCATACGTCTAGCGGCGCACCTATGTAACATATTACAGAGACACACATACTTACACACATTCGCCTTTGAAATACACTTGTGCGCTTGCAAGTCAAAACCTCTACAGCAGAACAATACAAGCCAAGGCAAATACATTGATTTCAAGGCAACGCATTGCGATGCAATGTAGACCACCGCAACGCAAAGCACACTGCAACATAATGTTGTATGACATGCGGTGACATGCGCAGATGCTTGCATTGTTCATAGTTCATAGTGGGGCAAGCGAGGCCCGCGGGTGGATTGCGGGTTGGCGCGGGCCCTGGGCGTCGGGAGGCTGGCGGAATGCCGAGTAGGCGCAGGCATAGGGAAAAGGTACAGATGCGCAAAAACAGCACAAAAACGAGACGCCCAGCACCAAGACGAGCAGGATGAAATTGCCCAGACGCCCAAGACCCAAAACATGCCGGACACCCAAAAGCCCAAAACCCAAGACACCCTAGCAAAACACCCCAAACACCCTCAACACCAAGGCCCAAGACATCCCAGAAAACGCACACACGCCAATATCAAGGCTCTTCCCAAGATACTGGAGTCTGGCCAATGGGCAGGGGCCGAAGACCTTGAACGTTGAACGCCCCCTGCCCGACACCCAAGAATTTTCCACAGGGGCAGCGCCAGCTATCGCGACCTGCTCTGGTCTGGACCCCCCCCCATAGACCCATGGGCCATGGGCGGCTCCGTCGGCGCCCGAAGGCGTCTCGTTGCACGCGACGCGGGCATGGGGCATGGGGAGCGGGGTGGGAGTGACGAAAACAAGCAAGGGTAGGAATAGATCAGTAGATGTGGAAGCGGCACCCCTCTCCAGAGATCTGCGCGAAGGGACAGGGCGGGCGATCGCAGCCCCTGCTATGCTGAGCCCTTTCCCTTCCTCGTGGGCGCCCCCGCCCGCGGGGGGCCCCGCTGGCCGCCCTTCCTCATGGTGTTGTTCCCGGAAAGGGCTCGAGCCCAGGGTTCTCTTTTAGTTGGTTCCCCCCGGTTTCGACGGCTGTAGGGCCGGCGAAATTATTCTGCGATAAAGTACGAAGTCGCGTAGGACCGGCGAATTAAAATTTGAGGATGTCCCTAGCGAAGCGCTTGTTTTTCAGAATTTGTTGCGGATGTCTCGAGCGAAACGCTTGTTTTGCGTTAAAGATTGTCCTCTCCTGGGGACCTGAATTCGGAGGATCTCTCAAGTGAAATGCTTGTTTTCACGTGCCCAGGTCTTGAGGATGTCTCGAGCGAGACGCTTGGTTTCACGCCTCCAGGTTGCCAAACAGATGTCTAGCATGAGGATTTGTTGAGGATTTCGAACCAGAGGCTTGTTTTCACGTGTCCAGGTCACCCAGGCGGATGTCTAGCATGAGGATGTGTCGAGGAAGTCTCGATCGAGACGCTTGTTTGCACGTGTCCAGGTTGCCCAGGCGGATGTCTAGCGTGAGGATGTGCTGAGAACGTCTTGAGCGAAACGCGTGTTTTCACGTGTCCAGGTCGCCCAGGCACAGCACAGCCCTCGGCACGGTACATCAATATCGATACATTGAGCATTGCAGCTTGGCATGTTGCCTGGCACGTTCCGCGGAGCGTCCCGTGGCGAGTCCCCCTGGCACGTCGCGCGGTGCACGTCCATTGGCACGTTCCGTAGCGCGTCCCCGTGGCACGTCCCGCGGTGCGTGCCCATGGCACGTCTCCTGGCACGTCGCCTGGCGCATCCCTTGGGACGTTCCGCGGCGCGTCCTCCTGGCATGTCCCCCCTGTCGATTAGTTCTGGGGCAGCTACCATCTGCTCAGGCAGCTCGAGCTTAAGATCCAGAGCAGTTCGGGCAGGACTCGGATGCAAAGAGGACTCGATCCACAACGCTATATAGAGCACAATCGCGGCATGTCACATCGCAGTTCAGCACGGCCAGCACAGCGCAGCCGTCGGCACGGTACATCAAGATCGATACATTCAACATTGCATCCTGGCACGTTCTTTGGCGCGTTCATTGGCGAGTCCACCTGGCACGTCGCGCGGCGCGTCCCCTGGCACGTCCCGCGGCACGTCCATTGGCACGTTCCGTAGCGCGTCCCCTTGGCACGTCCCGCGGTGCGTGCACACGGCACGTCACCTGGCACGCCGCCTGGCGCGTCCCTTGGGACGTTCCGCGGCGCGTCCTCCTGGCATGTCCGCTCTGTTGATTAGTTCTGGGGCAGCTACCATCTGCTCAGGCAGCTCGAGCTTAAGATCCAGATCAGTTCGGTCAGGACTCGGATGCCAGGGAGGACTCGATCCACAACGCTATATATAAAGAGCACAATCGCGGCATGGCACATCGCAGTTTAGCACGGCCAGCACAGCACAGCCCTCGGCACAGTACATCAAGATCTGTACATTCAGCACTGCAGTTGCCCGTCGCCCACTCAAGTGTCTTTGAAACGTTGCCATGCCTTACATTCCTATATTCCTTTCCGGGTTCGTGGGTCGATCATGTTTTTTCCATCCGAACGCGATGCATGCTGAATGCTTGCTAATAATGCGACAACCTGCGGCCTCGCGAGACAGCGGCGTGGCCCCGGCGCGGAAATCACCCCAATTCCAACGCCCCGCTTCCGCGCGCGCTGCGGCGCGGGCGTGGGAGGGCCCCAGTGCCCATGTGCCACATCACCGTACCCACCCAGTAATGTTCTATATGTCGCCTCTCCACCCCTCTCGTCTCCCTCGCTGTATACGGATAGTAATGTTATGGACTGTGCTAGGTGCTTGATATTGTAGATGGTCACCTTGTGAAGTAACAAACTGTACTGGCGTTTACATGTCAATGTCTCAATGGTATGGCATGTGCTTTTGTTGTTGTTGTTGTTGTTGTTATTTCATTATTTCTTTAGTTCTCTCTCTCTCTCTCTTTGTCTCTATCTCCCTCTGTTTCTCTCTTATATCCGCGATTGCCCTGCCCCCGCCCCCTCGCCCCCCCCGCTGTCGCCCGCCGCCGACGGGGGGCCTCAAAAATCGAACGGCCTACATCGGCCCGAGAAGTTGAAGGGCCCACCGCCGACTGCGGGGCGCTCAAAGCTCAAAAAGCCTCGAGCTGCCTGAGGAGCAGCCCGAGGAACAGCCATGGACCTCCTTGGAACCGGCAGCCACGGGGGAATCCGTAGGCTCGCCCGGCGCAGGCCTCGAGCGGCCTGGGGGGCAGCCGCGGGCCCGCCCGCCTGGCCTCGAAACTGCCGGCGGCCTCGGGGCCAGAGCGCAGGCTCGCCAGGCGCGAGCCTCGAACAGCCTGAGGAGCAGCCTCGGACCTGCCCGCCTGGCCTTGGAAACGGCAGCCTCGGGGGAATCCGCAGGCTCGCCCGGCGCAAGCCTCGAGCGGCCCGGGGGGCAGCCTCGGGCCCGCCCGCCGTGGGCTCGGCTGCCTCGGGAGCCCCTGCATCAAGAGGTCGATCACATGCTGGGGGAGATCTGCCGCCATCCGCTGGACGACCGTCTCGATCCGCATGGCCTATGACTTCATCTCGGACGAAGGCTGCCGCTATGTCATTCAGCATGCTGCCCAGCGCCCAGTCGGCCATGATGCGCTTCTTCCCGAGAGCTCTCCTACCAAAAAAGCCCTTGGAGGCCTGCTTCAAGTCCTAAGTGAACGAGATGCCAATCTGCTGAGCCTGCCGCAAGCGCCGGACCAAACCCGCGACGCTCTGCGCCGAGGGGTTGCATTGCGACGATCAGGACTGCCGACGACCCTGGTCTGCATGGACTTGTCCGAGAGGAGCTTCGGGTCATCAATGACTTTGCTCGGCGGGCACATCGCAATGAGAGCCCTGGCTCTCCTTGGAGAGGTGCTGGGCATGCGCCTCAAAAGGCAGCGGTCGAGACTTTGCCCGTCCAGGGGGCGCTGGCAGCGCCGTCCTCAATCTTGGCCTTGGCATTTTGGGCCCCCCATGTCCCGCCGGCGGTCGCGTGCCGAATTCCCGAGAAATGCATGCGATGATTTGACCTCCTCGTTGGTAAACATCGGCGTGCTCAAACGATTCTGGGATCGATTCTCCACGCGGCGTCGCGTTGCAGCTGGCGACCGTAGTCTTGTTGAAAAGCTTCATGGGCTCTACCCGCAGCGCCAGCAACTCGTTCAAGGGGCCCCTCATCAGCGCGGCAATGTGCCCATCCACGTCGGCGACGGCGCCCAAGGAAGACGACCGCTCGAAGGGGCCCTTTCTTGCGCCGAAGTCGCGGGGGTCACGGCGAGACGCTGGATCGGCCATAGCGACCCGGCAGAACAAGAATGCGTTCGAGACCTCCTCGAGCGGCCTCCGGCTCCTCAATAATATGCTCGGGTGATCCTTCGCGCCCG